TTGGTACGCCTCGACGATAATCAATTTCAGATTCGAGACGGTTCTGTCTAGACAGTAACTAAATAGCAGGAAATAGGGCATCAAGATGAATTTATATGAAACCTTATTCAAGAATAAAAAACAAAGGGCTAAAGGAAGCAAAGTCTTGATAAGTTTTACTGTGTGAGCCATGTACACAAGCATCTCAGAAGAAAAGGCACCCATGGACCTGATCTTGAGGAGCGAAGAAGATTCTCTGGAATTAGAACGGTTCAGGAAAGAGCCTTTGACACTAAAGAATGCCTGCTTGACATTCAGAGTCCACATCTATAGAAGATATTCGAACTGACTGTGGGTTCTCCTCTATTCCCACATTTAAACAACATCCAGATGGGCAAAGTAGAGGAATTCAAGTCGTGACTGCTGCAACCGGGAGTGCTTATGCTATATCCTATGCGCATGGAAGAAGAATGAACTAGTAAGGCTAAAGGAGTTAAAAAGGAGAGGAAAATGAATAAGCGTGTATCATTCGAGCAGACTCAAATAAAGGCTATTCAGAAGGAAATAGTGGGAAGGAATAATCCTCAATATTCAGTTTCAGCATAAGTATAAACTGAGGAATGGAATAATGAATAATAGTGAATGAATAATGGATACGAGAAACCTATGAGAAGAGAAGAAGGAGTTATGGGAGGACGAATAAAAAAAATACACAATGATGTGCCGTAGTTAGTGATACCCGACTGAAGTAATACAAAGAAACAATAAACACTGCAAAAATCAGATGGAAAGATAGGGAAGCTCAAAAGAAAATAGTGATTGTTGAGCTTACTTCTATTTCGAGTGAAAGTGTTGGGTGAAGAGATTCGAAAGTCGGTTCCATCAGGAGACGACGGCGGATTCCTCTTGACCAGCTGTCGATTGGCTTTACTGGGAGATTCCTGCTGACGCTGTTTCCGAGACAATCTACTTAGATTCCGATGGAAAGGTGCTAAGCTTTCGTCCGTCATATAATGGGCATCATCAGAGCGAGGTAACATCGTCACAACAAGATTCAAGCTAACGAGTCAAGAAATGAGAATTACAAGCTATTTTTGCACCTTTATTGTTATGTTAACCTGATATTGTTTCTAATTTCTAATAGTGAATCAGATATATCATTCCATTCTTTAGCTAAATTATCTATTACATGTTACTCCATAGTGAAAATCTCTTTCAGAACACTAAATAC